AGCGTCCTTGTTCGTCAAGGTTTCCGTTTCCAAGACATAGAGTTGAAAGTGGTTGTAACCACAATTTAAGTAGCCTCATAAACTTTAGTGGTTTTCATGACTTTGGGAAGGTGAGTTAAAATAAAATAAAAAGAAAAAATATGGCTTTTGCAGTAATAATGTTAGGGGTCTCAATTATTACGATGAATTATGCGTAAATGTAATAAAACTCGCATATAAAACCACTATATATATATATATTTTTTTTTTTGAAATTTACTTTATTATTTTTAGCTTTGTTTTTAAAAATTGTTTATATATAGTGATAAAAGTCTTTTGTGAGGTAATGAAATTTTTTTTTTTTCATAATTTGGTGAATCAATTTATTTTACTTATCAATCTACTGCATAAAATGACATTAATATTAAAATTTTTCCTATAATATATTGAAATATACTCGACAAAATAAGTTAATGCATCTCAAATCTTGCCATCTCAGCCACATAAACTTATCAAAAACTGTTTTTTAAAATTTATTACGCAAACTGCGTGTTTCCGATGCTGATAAAAAGATTTCAGCTCTGTTTTATGCGTACTTAAAAATATTTGCATAATTTATATGACCATAAGTAAATGAATAGTATAACTGCATTAAGTTTTTTAATTACCTTTAGATTTCTCTAAAGTCCTAATGCTTTTTGCTTTATTTGAAATATTATTAATGTGTAGTCTTTAAAAAAAACTTTTGTCAATAAAAACCTTCAAACATTTTTATTTCTATTTTTAGGATTATATTGTCAATAAGAGATCAGGCACTAATTTACAAACAGTATCTGTTTGTCATAGTTTGTATAGAAATGTGTTGACTTTGTTTTATTACTATTTAAAGATAACCTATTTTTTTAAAATCAAAAAGAAATTCTTTTAAGTTCTTAAATTTCATATTGTTAAAAAGCAAGCATTTTCATACAAGTAAAACAGGTTTGTGTTGAATAAAAATTGAATAAAAAAAAAGCAATTGATTTTACTCAGCGTTTTTGGAGTAATTGCTCAGCTTTACGTAAATATATTTGAGCAAAATTGCTCAAACTATTAAAGGTGAGAAATTTACTCCAAAAACGCTGAGTAATTGCTCAGCTATACGTGAATAAAAATTTAAGCAATTTCACTCAACTTTTTATTCACTTAATTGTCATAAAACTGAGCAGTTACTCAAAAAATGCAGAGTAAAAGTAATTGCTTTTTATTATTTACCCAGCCTAATCTTTCTTAAGAACAAATTGTTTTCAGTTAGAGAGATAAATTTTGAACCAACTTAGAGTCTTACCACCATGCAATAGCATTCAAGTTTTTTTAGTAAAATTTCATAATTGACCATGTCGAAAGCTTTTGACATACAATAAAAACAACAAGTGTGAATTCATAAACACAACGTGTTAATTGCAGAATAGCATGCTCAGTCGAATTAAATTTCCTTAAACTCAAATGATTTTCATAAATGAGTTGTTGTTATTTACATATATGTTATCCTATATGTGTTATTAACTTTTATACGTGCTACTCTGATTAAAGAAAGGAATTACTTTTGCTATTTTCAAAAAATCTGGTAAACATCATTTTTTAAATTTTTGTAAAGCATATATTTCTGTCTTTAATAGATAGATTTTATAGATAGCATATATATCTGCTATCTATAATATCTACTAATTTATTGCAATGTTCTTCAAAGAACATTGAGCACTCTATTTTAGAAACAGAACAGTTCTTAACTATCTTAAACAAACAAAACTCTACAATTCAATATACGATCGAAACTGAAAGCGAAAATAGAGCTCTAAACTTCCTCGATTTAAGTATAATAAATAACAAGAAGGAAAATACGAGTTTAAAGTTTACAGAAAGGAAGCCATTACTAATATCCAAATTAAACATCACTCAAATCATGACCCTAAGATTCTAAACGCAATATTTAAAGGTTAAATTCACAGGGCTTATTCTTTATGCAGTAATTTATATTTACAAGATGAGATTAATTTCCTTATTTAAATGTTTAACGAAAATGGGTACATCATATGCCAACTTAACGGATTGCAAAGTTAATTGAAAATAAACGGTCTCTAAAAATCAATTAAATTCAATCAGACTCTCTTAACATCCCTACTGTATCGTTGATGTGGATACCATCACAATCCCTAAAACTAAGAAAAATATTTCGGAAAACTGGCTATAGAGTAGTCTTCAAATCAAATTCCGGTTTAAAAACATTACTAACGTCAAAAAACAAAACTAAATTACCACAAAATAGTCAGATACGTAGCTAAACTTAAACAAGCTACGTATTAACTTAAACAAACTACGTATTAACTTAAACGAGATACTTATTCGAAAGTAAACTTCAAATTAGGACTCAAACTCAACAACATCTAAAAAGTTTAAACGAGGGGAAACATTATCAATCTGCAATAGCCACTTATAATATGTTTTGCTCACAAGAAATAAAGTGGGAAAACCTGAAAACAATTAAAGTTGAAACAAAAACATTTGATCGAAAAGTGCGCGAAGTTCTAGAAATACAAAGGTTCCAATGTTCACCTTTACATGGCGGAATAAATTTAGATAACGGGCAGTATGTGAAAGCTAAATTTTGGACTCTGTTTTTTACATTTTTACATAAGCCCATTCAACTGCTGACGTCAGTTAATTTTAAACTGTTTCTAACGTTACAAAAAAAATTTTTATTGTATAATTTTTACGAGCTGATGATGCTGGTAACAAAAATCCAGCAAAAATTTCTAATAATAAATTATTAGTTGTATTAAAAGAATTGGTATTAATTGATGTTTTCTGACTTCTGACGCAAGCATAACTTCACGCGGTTCACAACTTTAATTGTTTTTAATAATTTTGGTTTGTTTAATTGGTTTTCTTATAAATATTTAAGAGTAGTTATCTAACATTCACTTATTCCAGTCTTCACTAAAATTTAAAATATGTAAGTATTATTTAATAAAGAGAAAAAACATCTTACAATGTGTTTGCTTCAAGAAAGCAACATAAAAATAAGCGGGATAAAGATTCCATTGTTATCGGTTTTATTTAGTTATGTTTGGATTTTATATAAAACTTTTTTTAAATACTGTTTGAAGCAGAGGCGACTCTATGGGACAGGAGCTGTCATACCCCCAAAGCTGACAATTTTTATGTTATAGTAGGTTTTGTAATGAATATGGTTGGGCATTTGACACATTTCAGCAGTTTTAAGTTTTGGTTTATTTGGGTATTTTTTAGTTTAAGTTTTTTCTTTCTTGTAGAAAACGACCGGTACTTTTTAATTCTTTTTAAAACTTTTTAAAATAATTCATCAAATTGTGGTGGTGCAAAAAAGGAATACGGAACGAAAAGATTTTATAAAACATTTTTGTATGAATATATTTATTTTTGAATAATAATAATAAAGAAATGCAAAATTTATTATATTTATATCATGTAAATGTGCGTTTGAATAAGAATGAATATACATATATAAAAAAAAGCCATTAAAATTGTTTAAACAGCGATTCCACATGCCTCGATGTTTCGCTTGTATCGAGCAAACGCAGTTTTATAAAATATATGAGTCTAAAAAAAAATTTAAATTTGCAATATTTTAGTAAAAAAATATATGTTTTTTTGGATAATTTTTATTTTTTTTTTACTTTCTATTTTATGAGTTATTGCAAAAATAAGAGCGTCACGGCGTGACAAATCGATGTCACGCTGTGACGCGCGTGTTTTGAACTTTATCTGCGATAATATAAAAACAAATTATGAAAAGGCCTTTTTAATACAGTTAAGTTATCGGAATATTATATTAAAGTTTATTTTTTATTTTTACAATTTAAATATTGCAAACTTTTATTTCCTCGATTAAAAATGCATTAACGCGTAGTATGAAATTGCTCTAAATGTTTTTTTAGGGATTGTTCTTTTATTTGGCTTTGTTTTCAGTGCTATAAACGTTATAGTCAAAAATTAAGCGTTCTGACCCTAACCTGTTAAGGAGAGTGGTAAGTGATTGGCTTATATATGCTTACCACATGTGGCCCACATGAAAATTACACATACAAATAAAGTGTGACGTCCGTTTTATTTAGTTTGGGTTTAATGCTATAAGTAAAGTATTTAATCTTATAAGTAATTATTTATATTATTATTATAAACTTTTCTTTTTTTAATATATTGTAGCGATTGTTTTTATTCGGCTTTGTTTTCAGAGCTAGAAACATTATAGTCAAAAATTAACCGTTCTGACGCCAACCTGTTAAGGAGAGTGGTAAGTAATTGGCTTATATATGTTTACCACATGTGGCCCACATGAAACTTACACATACAAATAAAGTATGACGTCTGTTTTATTTAGTTTGGGTTTAATGCTACTAGTATAGCGTTTAATGCTAAAATTAAGTATTTACAGCCACGCATGAACCACACCAATAGCATCCCGTAAAGTAGTGTGGATGATGTACAACTGTCGTATATGACCAGTATTAAATTTTTTTGTAGGAAAGTAACTTATAATTTGTTCCATAAAATGAACATACATTAGTTCTTTATAAGTTTAAGTTTAAACCTATAATACTAGAGGGTTCCAAAAAGTCAGCAAAAGTATTTTAACACGTTTTTTTTTTAAAATGGTGTAATAAAGATGATACTAAGCATTACAAACGTTCAAATGACTATCATCGTTATTTAGTAATGATTGTTTTAAAAATATGTGTAAGCATATTTACATATCTTTATACTTGCTTATCTATATAAAATGAAAATAGATAAAATAGGTAAAATATATACGACAAAAAGTTTTTTTATTTTTTAAGTATATAATATTATAGTATTAAAGTAAAATAATATTACCAAAGAAAAATTATAATTAAATAACTTTGTAAGATATTTAACACCTTAATAACTTTATGTAAGAAAAAGAATAATAAAAATGTTTAAAATTAACAATAAAGCACAAATAAATATAAAAAAAAAATTACCCAACAATTTGCATTCTTTACATTTCTGAACACTGATAACACCGAAAAGAATCATGAACACCATTACTGCAGAAGTTATAGCTATGATTGCAACAAGGACAGAAAAAACTAAATAGCTGCATTTCGAGTTGTCTTCAATCCCAGAGAAATATCCTTTAATATGTTTTCTGCGATGCTTTATTTTTGGTTCAACTTCTGTGGTTTCATACATTGAGTTTGTTTTCTTATATAATAAAGTTCTTGAATTATTTTGAAATCTGCTTTCAATGGTAAATTGTGATGGAGCACGTTCATTATAGTTTTTACCTTTTTCTGGCAAAACACAATATGGGTTTTCTACGTATGGTTTTGTTACAAAACATATACTGTTGTGATCAAGAGATGATTCTTGCACATCATCGCTTTTTCTAATATCATTTTCGGAACCAACTTTCATCGAATTAAAAACCGGCAATGTTTTATCCCAAGGTTTTAATCTATGATCTTCTTCGCATGCATAGTTATCTAAACCCATACTCGGTTTTGATTATAATTGTCTTTATTGCTGTATATCTGTTTTGTACTCTGTTATCTATATCTGTTTTGTACTCTGTTATCTATATCTGTTTTGTACTCTATTATTTATATCTGTTTTGTACTCTGTTATTTATATCTGTTTTGTACTCTGTTATCTATATCTGTTTTGTACTCTGTTGTCTATATCTGCTTTGTACTTTAACTTTTTTGTCTGTTGGTGATATTTATAAGTTTGCTTTTAATTTAGAAAGTATAAATTTTTGAAACTGTAAATAATGTCTAGTTCTTTATCAAATAGTTTCTATTAAAAGACTTTCTGAAAACAATTATTTATTTGTCTCCGTTTTTAATTGTTTTTCGATTAAACGTGATTTTGAAGGTGAAATAAGTTGTTGTTAAACAAAACAATGTCCATGAATAAGATTACTACCATATTTGTTTACGCTTTGTAAGATTAAAGAAACGTTTTCAATTTTCGACAAAATTGCAAAACTACTCATGCGCTAAAATAATATCTAAAAACATTAATATAAGATTTAAAAGAATAATAACCAATTATTCTTGTTTACAGTTAACAATCCAGTGTGTGTCCTATTATTGTCTGTGTTAAGTTTTATGCTAAACTTTCGTTTTCACAAAGTTACTTCGACGTAATTTTACTTTTTTACTTTATTACATTATTCAAAACTTGATTGCAGAGTAAATTGTAATTGCATTTTTACCACATGTAAGGGTTGTATTTCTTATTAAGAAAGGTGTATTTGTGTTCAAAAAAAGTCAAAAAACAACCTAATGGAAAGAATCCATAGCCTTTGGACTGTGTTTATATAAAGACAAATAAAACTAAGATATGGGCATACCATTGCAATTGCGAAAATCAGACTCTTACGTCCCCCTACCTTGTATATATATATATATATATATATATATATATATATATATATATATATATATATATATATATATATATATATATATATATATATATATATATATATATATATATATATATATATATATATATATATATATATATATATATATATATATATATATATATATATATATATATATATATGTGTATATATATATATATATATATATATATATATATATATATATATATATATATATATATATATGTGTATATATATATATATATATATATATATATATATATATATATATATATATATATATATAAATATATATATTTATGTATATATTATTGTATATGTATATATATATATTCGATACGTATATATCTAAAAAATTTAACCTGATGGATTTCAGATTTAGAATCAGCATAAAATATTACTTAGGAAGCACTTAATGACATTCAAGATATCCACAGCTCGTTTTTCAGTGTTATTTACAAAATAGATCAATATTTATATATATGGTATTAAATTACATAAAAAATATATATTCTTTAAAATACAACATTATGATGGAACTTAGAAAACTATGTCTATCGGCAATAATTAATAGAATATATAGAAACTTCTATATATTCTATTAATCTAAATAATTCCTGGTATTTCTAATAATACTAAATAATTGCTTATAATTATAATAATTCTAAACAGTTGTCGATAATTATAATAATTCTAAATAACTGTCGATAGTTATAATAATTCTAAATAATTGCCCACAGGCACGAGGTTTATGGGCAATTTATTGCCAATAGGCTTGAGTCTTTTGTATTTTTTAACGGTTTTTTCTTGATTTGAATAATAGATATGGCTGAAAATTTTTGCCAACCATTTATATTCTTTAAACCGTGAAAAACCGTTAAAAAAAAATGCAGAAAAAAAAAAAAAAAGCAAAGCAAAGTAATAGAATAGGTTATGACGTCAAAATAAAACAAATTGGAGTGGAAAAATCGATAACCACCCGTGTCAAATTGGGTGGGAAGAATTTGGGTTCCTTGCATGCATTTAGATTTTATTTCACTTTTTTTACTTTTAAAAAATTTAGATATTCGAAAAACAAAGTTTTGTACTTTTAATTTATTTATAGTTTACAGGATTTCGTGGTAGGGTTATATGCATTGCACTATTTAATTATTTTCCTTTTGACAACTGGGTTTAAGTTTGCACATTTTTTAAAGTTTAAATTTTTTAGTTTCTAATTTTTTTTTTTTTTTTTTGATAGATCATTGTCCTTTTTTGTACTTAAGATTATTAAAGAGTATCATTATTTATTTGCACTTAAAATGATTATTATTGTCACTTACAACTGTATGCCGAATAGGACTCCCTTAGGTAGCTTTTTTACTTTTTTTTCATACGAATACACCTTTTTTTAATAAGAAACACGACCCTTATATAACTGCAGAATAAATTGCAATTTATTCTGCAGTTATGTTTTGAAGAATTACATTATGTATAACTTATTATTTTGCAGTATTTATGTTTATCAAATACTGCTCTTTTCTCTTTTTGATTATTTAATAGCTTTTTATTTGTGACTCTAATGTCAATAGGAGACTTTGCTAAACTGAAATTTTTTTAACAAATTAAGTATACAAAAATATTGCAACTAAAAACAGTCTTGATGATAAGACCATATGGTCTTCTGCAAGTTTCCCGCGTTCTTTTCGCGGCGCTACTTTTTTATATTTATTATTTGTGCTAAGTTTATTATTTGTACTGAAAAAAGTTCCTATTATATGTACGGTATTTTATTTTATACATTGTTAACGAAACAGTTTATATTATAAAAACTTTAGCTGTTCCAACACTAACGTATGGTCTTCAGCTGTGTGAACATAAAAAAAATGTTAATGCAAAAGCTTGATATAGTTGGAAGAATTACACAAATACAAAGTCACTCCTCGATGTTTCAAAACATAGCAAAAAATATATTCATACCTTATTTTTTATTAAAGATATATCAATTATTATACAACAAAACAAGCTAAACTTATCCATTCGCCTGATGAACAATAAAATGACATATGATATTATTAAGTCTGAAAAACGAAACAGCCCCACAACATTTTTTAGATAATACCAAAGGCTTCAGGGGCGGATCCAGCATTTTTTGGTGTTTGAGATAGCTTACTTCCAGACATGGAGCAAACTCCAAACATTTACATGTTTATACTTATATCAAGTAAGGATGGTTTGCAAAAAATTGCGATGATTGGAGCCTGGGAACAAAAAAGCCCTAAAATTTGAGACGTACCTGCCCCAAACGTGAGAGCAACAAGTTGATAAAATATTTTTTGTACTATTCTCAACAAGAATTATATTTATCAATAAATTTTAAATTTCATAGTAAAATATTTTAGCGCTTAAAAATTATGACCATATAAAAATTGTGACCCCCTCGAATTGAGGGGGATTCAAACTTTACATGGTCATAATTTTTGAACGCTGAAATATTTTACAATGAAATTTAAAATTTATGGATAAATATAAGTCTTGTTGAGAATAGTATAAAAAATATTATATCATCTTGTTGCTCTCACGTTTGGGGCAGGTACGTCTCAAATTTTAGGGCTTTTTTGTTCCCAGGCTCCAATCATCGCAATTTTTTGCAAACCATTCTTATTTGATATAAGTATAAACATATAAATGTTTGGAGTTTGCTCCATGTCTGGAAGTTAGCTATCTCAAACACCAAAAAATGCTGGATCCGCCCCTGGGCTTGTGCAATAATCATGAACTAAATCTGGAAACAATAATGAAAGTAAAAAAAAATAAAAATCATCGGCCTTTAAAATTTAATTCCTGAGACGGATCTTCAAACTCTAAAATGTGCAGTTGAGTGCTGGAACTTAAAAGAGCAGAGAAAAATTTTCAAGGACATTCTTGAAAAACATATTCCTAGATGATCACGTTAAAAAAAAAATTTCAAGATTTTTTATATTTATCTTGTATGAAACTTTTAATTTACCTTACTTGTATAGTGGGTGTTTAATAAATCTAACTAATTAACCAATGTCACGTATTTGTCAAATTTTGATAAACGAAAAAAAAAAAAAAAAAAAAAGAAACCTCTAGCAGCTAAAAAAAAACTTCTAGCAGCGTCTTTCTTCCAAGAGATTCTCTCAAGAAACAAATTAAACACAATTGCGTCAAATATTACACCAAAAATAAACCTGTAGCCCAAAGAGAAGAATGTTACTCACGTAAAAAAAAGCCAACATGGACTTCAAGCACTGCCTTCCCTATTGTTTTCAAAAAGAATCGTGTTTTACCGTCTTTAGCGAGGGTGTGGGAAATGTGTTGCCTGAAATACACAAGTTTCAAGTGATGTTAAAACTCTTAATATTTCCTTCAATCTATTATATCAGCACAAAAAGTAATAACGTCGAGCTGTACATGCGTGATATCTTGGTAGAAAAAATAAGGTTTATATAATCTTTTTGAAAGACTAAATTACTTTTACCAATAAGATTGTTATAGTAGTAGTTATAGTATATGTTAAAACAAAAGTAAATACAACTGACATAAAAAATGTTTATTGTCAAATTATAGATAGCGTTTGTGAAACTCATTATACAACATACGCATAGGAGAGTTGCGAACTGTTGTAACTTGGAGCCTATCAAGGATCAATTTAAAGATGTTGACTGTTGGAAAGCAGACTGCATTATCAGAAAAGCTGTCCATACAATGGTTGTTTAAAAAATTTAAACGAGCTAAATATTTAATGTATTTTTACCAGTGGTCTTGCTTTTTGTGGACATGTAATAAGAAGGAACAGCCTATTAATTATGTCGATGTTTCTCTTATTTTTAAATTTTTAAATGAGGTTAATTTGTTTACAACTATTAACAAGGGTTCCGAGCTGGAATTGCCAATTTAAGTAGAGGACTAAACAACTTATAAAAGCTAAACTATCAATAAGGATTTGACTTATTCTGAAAAGCAGCTTTAGCTTGATTGAGCAATGCTATTGATTATATATGAACCAGCATTTGCAAGATGGCAGTCAAATTTTATAGAAGTAATTTTGTTTTCAAATCTTTTTTTTTCAACTTCCGCTTTTGAAGTGATAAGATGTGTTTTTGAAGTCGTGAATATTTGATTTTATCGCTTTTCTTTAAATTTTTTTTCGATTACATTTTAGATTTAACTTTTTAAACATTTTTTAAAATTGTTTTTAGTGGTGAAAAAAATAACAAAATACAACTTTTAAGTGAGAAACTTAAAAATTATTTTAAAAAATTTACATTATTGAAACTAAAACTTCTAATTTACGTCAGAGTGCATTGTTAAAACCGTTTGCATCGTCAACTATTTTTAACAACAATGGATAAATTAAAAGAAAATAAAATATTAAAAACTATTAATCTAACCGTAACATTAAGTGCACAGCAAGAAATTATAGAAAAGTTATTAAAAAAGATTAAGGCATTGGAGGCAAAATCAACATCTGCCCCCTCATGGGCAGAAGTTAATGTTCGTGGAAAAATAAGTGAAACACAACTAATCAAATTAAACGCGTCAATTATAGAACAAAATGAACAAAAAAATAAGGAAGATAATATAATAATGTTTGGTGTAACAGAATCTGATGCAACAACCGATTTGGAAAAACAAGCTAATGATTTTGATATTGTGCAAGAGATATTTAACACGATGTTCACCGGTCTTTGTAAAAAGATTTAAAAAAAAAGAATTGTTAGTCAAAAATCTGCTCCAATTTCAGCTTTAGGGACAAAACACAAAGAAATACTATACTTGCGGCAGCAAAAAGAATTAAGCTCAAATGAAAATTTGAAGGATATATTCATTAACCCAAATAAAACATTAGCCGAAAGAGTCTTTGATTATAAATAGGACAACCACGACAAGCTTAGATTACATCTGAAGAAACAAATTACTAAAAAAAAACAAATATGGTCTAAGTTTATTGCATCAGGCAGAAATAATCTCGAATTATTAGCAAAATATAAACTTATTAAAACTAAGACTCGACATTCTATTGAATTAGCTTTGAAACAATTTGAATATGACTTAACTAAAAGTTCTAAATCAGATCCTAAGAGATTTTATACATATGTGAACAGCAAACAAAAGTATAAAGAAGGATATCGCACTTTAAGGTTTCCAGATGAAACTGTGAGTGATAACCTTTTAGATATTACAAATTTGTTAAACATATAGTTTTAATCTGTATTTACTGAAGACGATAACAAAGTTTTACCGAGTTTTGTGTTTCTTTTACTCATGTTCCCTATGAAAATAATATAAACAAAATAATCAATCTAAAAGAAATTTTTGTAGAATTAAAATGATTGGATAAATACAAATCCTGTGAGAACGATGGAGTACACCCGTATGTACTGAGTACCTCTTCTTTAATTCTGAGTATTCTTATTGAACATATTTTAAAGATATTATTTAAATCGGGAGTGGTATCAAAATCATGGAAAGACGTAGTTGGTATTTTTAAAAATTGCGATAAGCTTGATCCTTCTAACTAAAGACCTATTTCTCTTTAGTCAGTTATATGCAAAATTTTAAAAAGGATATAAAACAAAACTATCATTCGGCATCTTTAGACAATAATATGATAAATAAGAATCATCATTGTTTTTTACCAGATAAATCTTGCTTTACAAATTTACTTGAAAGTCATAATATTGTAACTCTAGCAGTGGGTCAAAATTATCCTATTGATATCCTCTTTACTGACTTTTCTAAAGCATTTGACAGAGTTCACCATAAAAAACTTATAATAAAAATTGAAATATATGGTATAAAGGGATTCGTTTTAAATGGATTGAGTCTTTTTTATCAAATAGAAGGCAAAGAGTTGTTCTTGAAGGCATTGCTTCTTTGTGGCACAGTGTTTTAAGTGGTGTACTGCAAGGCTCTGTTCTGGGACCAATTTTGTTTTTAATTTATATCAATGATCTTTTGGATAAACTAAAAAATAAATGCAAGCTCTATGCTAATGATTGCAAAGTTTTCCACATAATTTGTGATAACAGTAGTAATGATGTACAGGATGACATAATTTCTATTTTTAATTAGTGCAATGACAGCTAAATATAGAAAAATGTAAAGTAATGAATGTCAATAAAAGTAAAAAATTAAATAAAAATATCAATAAATGTTAACATTTCTGATTATCACTTGAGTCTGTGGATTGTGTAAATGATCTTGGTATTATGATTAAAAGAGATTTGAAATATGGTCATCATATATCTGGGTGTGTTTAAAGCAAATAGAATTTTATGTCTCATCCGACACACATTTTAATTTTTAAATGCTGATATACTTAAATTGTTATACATTTCGCTAGTACGTCCACATATTCTAGATGAGGGCATATTCTAGATGCGTCTTGGAATTCATTTTAAGATATAGATGTTATTGGAACCCTTTTTTAGATATAGATAAAGTTATTATTCTGTGTTATTCCAATGTAAGTAGTAAGAGATTGCCGATTCTGGGACATTTTCATTTTCAACCAAATTTTCAACCATAAATTAATATTAATATTGGGTTAACATTGAACCATATTGTGTATAAATTATTTCAACAAGAAATAATTTTTTATTTTAAAAAATTGATTTTTTAAAATAAGTGTTAATTTTTATTTCTTGTTACAAAATATTACGAAAAATTCTTGCATGACGTCACAGGTCACGTGATTTTTCTAATAATAAATTTGATCTGGTGTTTTTAACTTTTCTTCTTCTAATCTTTCCTTTTCTAACTTTTCAGCATGTAATTTAATTTTATTTTGCAAATAACGACCTAATCTTAATCTTCTTTTATAACTTCCTAATTTAATATCTTTACTTGTAAAATCCATTTCTTATAATTTATGTAAAGAAATTTATTTTCAATTTTTTTTCTTGCTGTTTCTAAAAGCGTTATCAACTGTAACTATATCCTATAGAACGTAAATAATCAAGTGCTTCACGGTAACCAGCTAATTTAGCATGAAAAATTGCTTTTTCCGTACCTTTATATCCAATAGAATGTAAATCTATTAATACTTTAAGAAGTTGTTTAGCATTTTTTCCTTTACGTTCAACATCATTAATTATCCATTCATCACATTCATATCCTAATTCAATTAAATATTTTACTACTTCAAGGTGATCATTCATTGCAGCCCAATAAACTGTATCTTTTCTTCCTTTATAACCTAATGAATGTAAATATTTAAAAACTTCAAAGTGACCATTCATTGCAGCATAATCAAATGCATTTATCGATCCTTTATATCCTATAGAATGTAAATATTTTAACATTTCAAGGCGACCATTTATAGCAGCATAATCAAATGCATTTGTGGAACCTTTATATCCTAACGAATGTAAATATTTTACTACTTCAAGGTGATCATTTTTTGCAGCATCATTAAATACCCAATTTGAGCATCTATATCCTAATTCATGTAAATATTTTAATACTTCAAGATGACCATTTTCTGCAGCATTATCTATTGCATCTGTTGAACATCTATATCCTATAGAATGTAAATATTTTACTACTTCAAAGTGTCCATTTTTTACAACATAATTATATACCCAATTTGAACATATATATCCTATAGAATGTAAATATTTTACTACTTCAAGGCGACCATTTTCTGCAGCACGAGTAAATGAATATTCTGTACCTTTATATCCTAATTCATGTAAATATTTTACTACTTCAAGATGACCATTTTCTGCAGCACGAGTAAATGAATATTCTGTACCTTTATATCCTAATTCATGTAAATATTTTAACATTTCAAGGCGACCATTTTCTGCAGCTTTATCTATTGCATATGTTGAACATTTATATCCTATAGAATGTAAATATTTTACTACTTCAAGATGACCATTTTCTGCAGCATCAATAAATGGACATTTTGTTGCTGTTTCTCCTGATTGAAATAATAATTTAATTAGATCATTTCTGCCTATACTTACAGCAAAATCAACTTTATTACCTTTTTTATACATATATTTTTTTAATATTGCAGTAACATAATATATTTGAGTTGAAGGTTTTATTAAAAATTTATTATTCTCAATATTATTTTCTTGATTCATTCTTTTTTATATACACAAGAAAATTATTTAAATCATTTTCAAATTTTTTTTTATTTTTTTAATGCGCATGCGCTAGGATTTACTTAAGCATAGTAGAATTGTCTTAACAATATTATATAGGATCTCTTATAGCATATAATTCTAGTTCTGTTGCTACAAATGGAAGAGTACTATTTTGTATATAATTATCAAATATAGGCATAGCAGGTTGTCCATTATATACATAGCTCATATTTTGACATACAGGTGCCCAATAACCACCACTTGTATCTAGTGTAAGTACTGCTCCAGAATTCATCATGCTTTTTGTAGTTGTCAAATTTAAACCGCAAAATCCTTGTCCTAATTCTGTACATCCAAATGGTGTATCTGTTGATATGAGTTGTGCAACATTTTGGTAAGCCATAGACATCATTGGAAGGAATGCTTGTTTAAATATAATACTATTCCATACACCATTAATTTTATATTTAAGTCTATATTTATAATAACCATCTTTGTTTTTATACTGCCAATTAGTAAATAATGTACTATATACTTGAGCAGTAGATGGAGTAGAATTAAATACTCTATAGGCGCTATAATAATTGTTAAGAAATAAATATCCAGCAACTTGTCTAACTAATAATACTTCTCCAGAATTATATGGTGTTCCATAGCCACCACCATATATATTATTCATTGCAATTGGTATTGCTTCAAAAAATTTGTTTGCTATTAATATTTGTTGTCTTGAATCATAATGTACTCCATCGAAATTTGCACTCCTAAGATTGGGAGGCATACCATCTAGAGATATACTAGCTGTATATGGAGAAAAATTTATAATATTTTTTAATGCATCTTGAACTTGAGTTGCTGTAGTTGAGTTTGCTTGAACCCATGAAGATAGCATTTGAAATGTAATGAATAGCATTTTATTTGCTTTTATTTGTGAGATTGGCAATGTATCAAATTGGCTTGATGAGTATGCAATATAATCTCTAATGGTTTGTATAAAATTCATTAGAATATATGCATAGTTATCACACCAACCGGTTTTAGAATCATCTTCTCCTTGACTCCAAGTCATACAGCAAAACTCTGCGTTATAATGTGATGAAATGTAATTGATTTTACGAGTTAAATTTTTAAAACCAGTTCCATACGGCATAAAATAATCATTACTGAAACTTTTAGCAGTTAGCATGCATGGAAGTATCATTAAACATTCATCAGGATTTATCATATTTAATGTATTCGCACCTTCAGCATCTTGCATTATAACCCCAGCAAGTATTGAACCATATCCTGCCCAACAATTATTATCTGTTTCATTTACATCTAGTCTCAATGAACAAGGAAGTAACACATCATTTTGTCCATTACCCATTGCAAATTGGACTATTCGTCTGTTCATATAATTTACATTTGTTATTGATTGAGATAAACCCCATTCTCTACCAGCATATGTATTTGATTGACCAGCTATAATCAAAACTTTATATTTATGTTGATAAGGAATTAAGCGATCTACATAATTCTTTGTAGCTGTATCTTGTGCATTAGTAGGATCAGCTACATTAATCAATTTATTTGAATTCAAATTAATATTTGCATTCATACTATTAGTTCCATCTAATTTTAGACATGCACTGCTAGAAATCTGATTATTATCTACATAATTCTTTGTAGCTGCATCCTGTGCATTAGTAGGATTAGCTACGTTGATCAATTTATGTGAATTCAAATTAATATTTGCACTCATACTATTAGTTCCATCTAATTTTAGACATGCACTACTAGAAGTTTGATTATTATCAACATAATTTTTTGTAGCTGCATCTTGTGCATCTGTAGGATCAGCTACATTGATTAATTTATGTGAATTCAAATCAACATCAGTAGTGGCTGTATTGCCAACATTAATGTTAATATTTAATCCATCTGTTGAGTAACCATACAATGAATTACTACCGGCTATATTCATACTCATTTTTTTATATGCTATATTTTTTAAATCAATATAATGAATTTTCAATACTTTGAAAATCAACACCTTCATCAAGCTTTTTTAATACATAAAGACACAAGTGTCCGCAAAAAGAAGTGTCTCCAAACTGAATTCTTTTACTATTATAATAAACAGGACTGTGTAAATATTGAACAAGTTCAACTGGAGGTGGTAGTGCATAAGAATCAAAACTTAATTTTTCTTCTCCATCTTTATACCAACAAATCCAATGAAATCCATTCGTACTTGAATCTCCAGTATTTAATATTCCACATTCTTTGTTTTGTGTATTTTTAGGTAATTCATCTCTTACAAATACACCTCTAAAATTTTTAATTTTTAATTTTTTTGCTGCTTTTATTAACTGAAAGTTTGTTAAGGGTTCATTTGGCAATATAATTCCTTCAACATTGATATGTTTGTCCATTTTTATTAATAGTTTAAGATTTTTTTAGATCTTTTTAAGATATAAAAAATAACTTACCTGTGTGTTTGCCTGCCTGCTTGCCTGTTTATTTCCAATCAATCTGAAATGAAAAGTTGGGTTTGGGTTCCGAAGGAACCAATGTTTTACTCTCTTTTAATTTATAATGTCCATATGCTAATGTGTGAATACCATCTTCTTGAATTACTCTTTTATCATCTTCTGCACTCAATGCTATTTTGTTAATTTCTTCTGTATAAACATCATGTAAATGAGATCTTATGACATTCATTTTTCTCATCTGAGCATTTTTCTCCTGCTAAGCAGGCAGTCTTTATAATCTTCATGTGTAATATAATTTTTTACTACATTTCTCTTTACTCCTTTACATCTCTTTTTATCTTCTTCATCTATTTTGTAAGAATACAACTTTGATCTGAGTCCTATAAATTCCGTAATTTGTTTTCCTGCTGACTCATCTTTAAACATTCCTATTACTTTCTTATTTACACCTACTTTAAATCCATTTTGAACAGCTGGATGATCTTTATTAAATTCACTTGTATCAAATTTACTTTCAATATCATTAGAAATATCTTTATAAAAATCTTCTGTTTTTATTTCATAGATTAATGAATCTGTATCTGTATATAATAGTTTAGCTTTATCTTTATATTTATTTTTTATGTAATCATAATGAAACTCATACATTAGTGTTTTGCTCAAATCTAAAATACACATACCTAAGTAAATGGGTTTGTTATAAACTAGTTTTGTTCTTTTCATATGTATTGCAATTAAATTTTCATCAAATATCGTACTACTTTCATAATTTGGTTTTGATGCTAATTTAATAGCTTCTTCTCTTTTTGTAACTAATCTCACATCAACTCTGTTTTCAATGTTCTCCATTGTCTTTCCAAATACTGAGTTATTCATAAGTTTGAAAAAGTCTTTTTCAAAATCATTTGTTGCTTTAGTCCTTAGATCTGTATTTAATTTAATGTATTTACTCAACCATGCACTTTCTTCAAACTTTATTCCTCTATGAATTTTTGTTATTTTCATTCCTAATCTTTCATACAGTTTTAAGTTTTCATAGTGAATGATATAATTTTTCTTATGATTTAAATTAGGTATTAATTTATCAACTTTGTCTATTTTTAATCTTTCAGGAGCAAGTGGATAATCATTATGCAAATCATGTAAATATTCAGGATATTCTAAATCTACTTCTAATATGCAAGAAGTAGATTTCCAATTTTTTAATTCTTCATCATTCATCCATTTAAATCCATGTGTTGGAAGGGGTTTACTCATTGCCCATCCATATAAATTGTTAGCATCTAGATACTGTATGTAAGTAGATTCTTTACTTTCATCATAATTTTCCATATATTTATTGTTAGCAGTTCCTAACCTGTTGGAAACCATACTAATTCCACCTCTTATTCCTTCTTTTATCATTAAAATCATATCATAATCACTTAATAATTCTAATTTTACTTCTGTTATTTTCAACGCAGCATCCCAAGCTAATCCTGGTGCTGTATAGTACCAAGCAGGATCTAATTTGTAATTGTTAAAACAGACATCTCTAAAATTTTCAAAGACATCAGCTAGTAGTAATACATCAGATTCGTTATATAAATTATGGTAATCTCTAAATGTTTCACAATTAAACTCTTTCCATACAGTTTGGGCATGTAAATAATCTTCATCACTTATTCCTTCATCATTTAATTTTGAATAAAATGATTCTTTTGGTGGTAATTGTGTTTCATTTAATTTATCAATAGAGTCAACCCATTCATAAGGATAAACACCTTTTCTTAACAATAAATTGAGTTCATTTCCAGAATAGTATCTACTAATATTTTTACATTGATCTTTTGACAAATTTTTAGTTAAACTATCTAAACTAGCAGCCATAAATTTAAAACTATCTAGAAAACGTAGATACAGTTTAACTTCAACTTTTTTACCTTCTCTATTCATAAATTCATTTACTTTAAGTTCTTTAGAAAAGCTGATATACTTTTCTTCATTGTTAGGAATGCAATTTATTTTTCCTCCTTCTGATTTTCCTCCTTCTGACAATTTCTTTATGAACAAGTGAGAGTCATAACCAGATAAATTGTGAAATAGTACTGGAATGAATTTTGGATTTTTAAATTGTAAATTACACTCATTATGTGCAGCACCTCTATATTTTCCAGTAATATGACAATGATCTTTTACTTTATCTTCATTAAGATCTTTTTCACAAATGTGACATATTTTTGCATTGTTAAATTCTTCTTTGTCTTTACAAGTAAATATTATATCTTTTGGAAATTTTAAATAATCGTTGTAAATCTTTTTTACATCTTCTTCTAGCATATTAACAAATTTTTGTGCTACATCTTCATCTTCATTACTTGCAGTGAATGTAACTAGTTTACTTTGATATATTTTTTCATCAAAGCATTTAATATAGTAACAAAATGAACTAGGTGTATGCTTTTGGTACTGCTTTGTATAAGATTCATTTGGATTAGACGAGCAAGTGTTGATTGGTTTTATAAAACTTTCAAAGTCAGCATAGACTACAAAAGGAACTCTCATAGATTTTTTAAAATGATTAAGTTTAATCATTGTATTTGGTTTTGGAAGTTCAATTCGTACTGAATCATGAGTATCACAATACAATTGATGCTTTGATAAAGATTCTTCAGTACAAAATCCTAACAAGCAATTTCGACAATAAAACATTTCATGTCCATTTTTAGATATTTGTGATGAAAGTAATCTACTTAGATTTTTAATTAAACAATAGTGATTGGTTTCATCATTTGAAATGAGTAATAAATCTATTTTATGTTGTCTATTTTTGTTTTCAGATATTCTTAAAGGATAAACAGAATTTTCATAACCAAATACATTAACACTTATATCTTGATTATTTTTCTCAAATTGTGTAATCTGTTGTAGTGATACTGGGAATTTTATTTTTTCCCAATTTAATTTATCAGCTTGTTCTTTTAAATCTTTATCTACTCTTTCAGGATGATCATCTTTAAGATTTAAAAATCTAGCAACGCACCACTTAAAACATTCGTTGTCTTCATTCTTCATATTAATAATTGCTTTTTTAGCTGCCAACTCTTTAGGAAGAGGAATGTAAGATTTACCTTTAAGTGGTTTATATTCAATGATATTTATATCCATCTTTTTAACTGAAACAAATCTCCAACTTGATCCTAATTGTAGAAATGCTGACAAGGATTCTAAAATTTTCTGTTCAGCTCTTTCATAAAAGTCATTTAAATCTGTTGACTCTAATACAACTTCTGCTTTTGTTGAAAATGATGCAATAGTTGTTATAGTTTCTCCTGTTTTAAGATCAGTACGCTCCATTTCACATGAAAGAACAATATAGATCTTTGATTCTTTATTACTTTTGAGTATATCAACTACATTATTTTTAGCTGATTTCATAAAGGACAAAGCATCATATCCTTTAACACCTTGAGCTGAAAATTGCTTTGTCACATTTTTAAGAGCTGATTGTGTTAATTTAAATTTTATTGGTTTCTTTTCTATCTTTTTTTCTTTTTTAGATTCTATAGGTTCACTTTTAAATCCAAAGAAATTAGAAACAGTTGATTTTATTGATGTAAGTTTTTCATTAGCAACATTTTTAATAGGTTCAGGAACATAGTCTATAATCCAATTAGCAAATGAATTCACTTTGTTCTTAATGGTATCAATATAACTAATTGGAACATATTGTGTAGGTGTTAAAGTATTTTGTGAAATATTATTTGGAATAGGTCTATCTGATATAGGAGTTGTTTGTTCAATTGCTCTAATGAGATCTGCTTTTCTCATTCTACCATAATATTTAATTTTTCGCTCTCTTGCGATTTGTTTTAATTCTTTTACATTTCTATTTTCCATTTTTATATATACAAGAAAATTATTTATATCATTTTCAATTTTTTATTTTTTATGTAAAGAAAATTAAATAATACAAAAAAACGATTTCTTTTTATATTTTTATAGAAAAAGTCTATAAAAATAATTATTTTTCATTATCTATTTTATTTTTGTGATAATGCATCTTTTTCTTTACTTGCTCTAAATATTTCAATTTTTACTCCATCTACAATCTTCCCATTTTTACTAAAAATATAAGTTTTAGAGCGCTTTTCTTTTTTATTATAGTCATAAAATGATTTGTAATTTTTAACTTCACCAGTTTCTATATTAGTAAGTTTAATTACCCATGGATCTGTTCTAATTGTTGCTAGATAATCGTATTTAGGATCTCTTTCTTTTTTTTCTTTTGTTGGAAGAAATTTTGGTCTTCCAGCAGATTTTTTTTCTTTTATTACTTTTTCTTTTTTAACTCTTTTAACTCTTTCAATCTTTGGTTTTTTTTGTTTCTTAGTAATGATATTTGTTTTTACAGAATCTTTATCAATTAAATTATTATCCATAGCAATCATAACTAATGCCATAGGATCTTTAGATGTTTGTTGTATATTATTATCTTTTAATAAATTTAATAAATACTTTTTCGTATATTTTATTTTATCACTCATTCTTTTTTATATATAAAGAAAATTTATTTAAATTATTTTCAAATAATTTAAATAATAGTATTTTTTTTTTATTGCATATATATTTTTTTTAAAATAATTATTTTTCTTTACTTAGCATTAGTTCTTTCAGAACCTAACGAAGTCTGGGTCACTTCATGACTTAATATTCAAATCTTAATCTATCTCCATTAGAAGTAAATTTTGCTATTCTATCTGAAATGATGAGAGCAAATATTATAGTATTTGCTGGAACAGGTGTATTAAATTCTGCTTTAAGTCTAATATCTACTGTTGAATCTTTCATTCTTTCTGATTGCTTACTTACATCAAAATACATAATAGGATATAAATCTCTATAATCTAAAGGAGTGATACTGCATAGACTAATAAGATTAGACATATTATAATAATCTTCAGCAAAATTGGATGCATGTCTATATGCTCTAGTAATTTTCATATTTGGAAATGATAAGCTATAATTAGTAGCAGGATATCTTTCTTCATTAAGCTCAATCCACATGTTTTTCAAATCACAATGATCAAATATTGAAGAATTTTGTTCTTGATTTCCTTCTCTATTTGTTTGAAAACTAACAAGTATATATCTTGGTTTTTCAGTTGTTCTTAATCCTAATCTCCAGTCAAATGTTGTATTTTGTGGAACATTAGTTCTATCTAAGAACCTCGATCTAAATCCCATATCAAGTGTTTCTTGTGATTTAATTATTTTAACAAGTTGTAAATTTGCTACATCAGATGGAGTTGCACGTCTCATCATTAATGATATTCTAGTAATATTTACTTTTCCTGCAGCTATACCAGCAGCTTTAAAAATTGCATTATCATCATTTCTTCTTAGAAGAAAAAGTTCATGCTTTAATCCATAAAAAACTTTATCATAATCATCACAAAATCCAAAAATATGTCTTAATGGAATACTAAATTCAAATGAACCTTTCGTAGTTGGTTTTTGAATGATAAATTGCTGTCTTGCTAAAAATCCTGCATTATTTACTAAATTTGCTGTTGCTATATTATCTTTAAACCACAATTGATTCATTGCTTTTGATTGTTGAAAGTCATTTGGATATTTTAACATTCCAAGCATTGTAGTTGCTATACCTGGATAATTAACTGATTCAACGACTGAATCATAGAACCTATATTCAATTCTCTCAAATAAATGCATAAGTCCATTGTGTGTTAGTGTTATTGCATCTGTATCTGCATATGCAGTTCCATCTGCTTTTACAAGTCTTCCTTCAATTTCTAAATAAGATTCATGTGGATGAAACAAAGAATCACTGTTTTCAATAAAAATTCTTATTTCTCCTAAATTTAAATTTGAATTAACAGAAGGTGTAAATTCATATTCTTCATATTTTTTAATCTCCTCATCAAATCTCAATTTATCAGTAATATTAAATATATCAGATTTTACCATTTTTATATATACAATATAATTTTTTTAAATCACTTTATGCTATTTATAAAATTATATTATTCTAAGCCCATCGCCTTTATGTTTTTTAACTAAATCTTGTATTCTAACTGGTTTACTTTTTATTGACGATCCCATCATGATTTTACTAATATCAGGCACTGCTTCATTTAATTTATTATCTAAAGTATTTATTAAATTTTTAAGTTCTTGTTTATTTTCAGGTGTCATCTTTGATGATTTATTTACATTTTCTATTAATTTTTTACCTTTATTTATTACAATTTCTTTAGCAGTAGATATTGCAGAAGTTGCAAGTTCTTTCCCTGCTGACTTTGCTGCATCTACAGCAGTTTTTCCCAAGTCTGTAGCAGCTGCTCTACTAGCTAAAATACGAGATGCATTAAGTGCATTACTTAGTGCTTGCCTATTAAACATATTTATAAAAGGTGTAAATAGTCCACTTCCACCTACTTCATACTTGTGTGTATATCCTTTATTATTTATAACTAACATTTTATTTACACTATATATTTTTTAATTCATTTTAAATGAATCTAGGTCTCAAAGAGACTTATTTAATTATTGGTCCATTTTTATTAAAATGATTAGTTAACATTGTTTTCATACCAGATAATGCTCTAAAAAAATCAGAAGATTTTGCTTGATTATACACATTACATATATCTGTAAATATTCCACTTCCACCTACTACATACTTGTGAGTATATGCTTTTTTATTTATATCTAACATTTTATTTACTATATATATTTTTTAATTCATTTTAAATGAATCTGGATCCCTTTGGGATCTAATTCACTTTGGGATTATCTTAATTTTTTTTTAAAAAGTTCATTTTGTTCTTCTAAAAGAGATACTTGTTTTTCTAAAAGATGTTCTGATTTACATTTTGACACAATTTCTTTTATTTCATATTCAATACTTATCGGCTCTCCTTGTAAAGTAAGTATATGCCCATCTTGATCCATTATTGTTGTTTTCATATCCCAAATTTTTTTTGATAATAATCTATAATAAGTTGGATTATTCGGTACTTCTACAATTTTATAACCCACTGGCGTAGATGGATAAAATGAATATATAACATTTGAATATGTACCATCTATAATTGATCCTGTTACAAGGCTATTTGTTACATTAATAGTATTAACATGATTTATATCTATTACTTTATCTGAAATATATACTTTTGATGAGTCAAATGTTATAAGATTACCATCACGATCTCTATTATTAAAACCTAAAAGGTTTTTTTATAGAGTCATCATCAAGTTGTATTCTAATATTGCTATTTTTATTAATAATAATCTGTGATCTTTCAGTATTAAAATTTGCTTCAAATATAATAGATGTAGGATCAAGTCTTATACTATCATACTTTTGTTTTTTTTTTAAATTTTCAATATCTGTGCTTGGTACATTTTTAAAAGACTCTTTATATTTAGAAAGTTGATCTTTAAGAGTAGTCATTACATATCTAGTTACAATTGCATTTATATTTCTAAGTTCATAGGATCCTGTTGGGATCTTAATTTGTTGAAAAGCAGGATTATCACTAGCTTCTATAGTAATATTTATAGTATTGTTCATTCCTTCAATAATATTTGGAAAACTATTATAAGTCATTAATTTTTTAAGAGCTATTCCATACTCTTTATCTGCATCTAGTTCAATAGGTACTGTCATATTAGTATTTATAACAGTATCGTTTGAAGATATATGTATTGTTATTGACATTTTATATATGTCATAATTTTTTATATTGTTTTCAATATAAAAAAATTTATATATGGATCTACTTTTTTTTCTCTCTTATATGAAATTCTATGGTATAACTTTCATTATTAAAATCTATAGGTTTATTAAAGTTATCAATGATGTCAATTTTCATTTCTGAAATGGATTTTGTTTTTAACGGAAAATATTTCTTAGATATCGGTTGTTCATTAATAACTGAATTTTTAGAAACAATAATAGGTATAAATGAATACATTACAGTCGCTTTCTTAGCATTTCCATTATTAGATACAATTTTTCCATCTACAAGATTATTTAATATATATACTTTTTTGTTTTTAGTTGAATCGCTATAGAGAATAGTTTGAAATCTATCAAGTGCCATTTCATACTCTTTATTTTCATCAAGTTTAATAATATCATCAAATTTAATTATAACTGGATTTTGTTTATTTTTTTCTATTTCAATATACATTTTTATATTTATAATAATTATTTAGATCAAAGAGACCTAGATTGTTTTGCAATCTCATTTTATATATTATTTGCTAATATATAAAATTAATATTTACTCTTCATCTTCGCTTTCTAAGTCTACATCTTTAATATAAAATCTTTCTATCTTATACTCATTTTTAGATACAACTGCATCTAATAATTTTACTTGAATAGATTGAATCATTGATCCTATATATATACCTTCAATTGCTAAGCATCCAACAACATCACATCTTTTTTTAATAAGACTTTCTCCTAAAATATCACCATTTTTATTTCTGAATACTTGATCCATCTTTTTACTTTTATAATCTGTTGGTATTTTTGCATATATAACTGGAGATGCCTTAAAATCATCATTTCTATACTTTAAAATATTCAAGTTGTTAATATTTAAGCTTTTCATACCCCCTTTTTTTAACGTTGCTTCATTTTCAATAACTTTATCTCTACAAAATTTTTCAATAGCTTCAATAATTGCGATAAATATATCATTTTCACATACAAAAGGAATTGAGTATCCTGTAAGTTCTTTTGTTTTCATGTCTCTATTTTCACAAACTCCATATGATAACGATTTTGGAGTTTTTACTCTTAAAGGTTCTGAAAAGTTAGAGTATTTGTATTCAATTACTATTTTTTGATATTGAACAGGTTTATTAAATTTTTTTATTTCTTTTACATATAAATTTGCTTCATCAAAATTTTCAATATCTACATATGTCATTCTTTTTATATATAAAATAAAATTATTTATATCATTTTCAATTTTTTTAATTTTCTTGTAAAATATATAAATTTTATCTTACATCATTTGCTAGAGTTGTAATTTGAAGTTGTTGTTGTTACAGTAGTATTTGTATTAGCATTACCAGAAGTAGCTGTTACACATATATTCACATTTACATTTGAGTTGTTCATTTTTTTAATAGTAAAAAAAATTTAAATCACTATGTGAACCGGGCTTTGTCAAATATTTTTCAATTCTGTATTATTAACCCATGAGTTAAAAGTATCAGGATACCCATACCACTTTACAAATGATTTATTACCTTGTTTTTTAATAACTTTTTCAATTCTAAATATCTCTTGACTTGTTTTTTGAAGTTCTTGTTCATAAAAAGTACCTTGTATTTCTTCATTATTGTAATCAGTTATTTTATAAGTGGGTGGATCTGTGTATTGAATTTGTGATATAGTAAATACTTCTTCTGTCCATCTTGGTGTGTATCCTTTTTCAAATGCTCCTTTCTTTTTAATTATTCTTACTTTATCACCTATTGTAAACTTGGGATGAGGAGACTCTGATATCACTTTACCATTTAAATTTAACCAAACTTTATTTTCATTCTTTTTATTGCTTGCTTCAGCTGGAGTCATTTTAATTGAAGAATGCTTTGTGTTGTTGTATTGATTTACTATTTCATCTAAAACATCAATGTATTTTCTAGTAGAATTAGCAGAAAAGTATTTAAACATTTTTTCTTTCATTGTTCTATTCCATCGTTCAACTACACAGCTTTTTTCTTCATTCTCAGTTGAATAGAGATGAACACCTAATGCTTTAACATGCTTGTTATAAAATTCTAAACCTTTATCAACCCATAATTTCATACACTTTCTATCTTTAAAGATTTTATTAAATGCATTAGCAACTTCAATTCCTGTCTTACTTTTCAATGGAATAATCCATCCATACTTTGAAAATATATCAATGACCATTAATAAGTATTTTATACCATTATTAAATTTAGAATAAGCTTGCATATCAACTAAATCAGCAGCCCATATTTCATCTATTCCATTTGCAACTACTTTTCTTTTTCTAAAATGTTTTATAACAGGTTTATGAAGTTCATTTGCAAGTTCATCAGTCCATTTCAGGTTTTTGCTTTTTTTCCTCTGCGTTGGTAGTTTTTTTGACATAATTCTTTAATACTTATTGGTTCTTTATTTCCCATACCAAACCTTACTTTAGCAGATATGATAGGTTTTATAATCTTTTTTTCTAATTTTTCACGAGGCGTAGGATTAGGTATAGCATCCATTTGTTCAAGCATTATTTTATCAGCTAAATTTCTATTCTCTTTATCTGGAAAATGTTTATAAGCAAGATCATGAATATAAGCTGTTTTATCAACTCTATCTACAGGCATACTCCATTCTTTAGGCATCTCAGTAGAAGTTAATCTTTCATCTAAATTAGTACCAGGTCCTGCAAAGTTCATACCTGGTATATGCATTTCACCTGGAAACTTTTGCAAAGGTAATTTTCTATTACTTGTAAATTTATTAATAGATTCTACCAAATCACCTCCTTTTTGAGCTCCTTTTATAAATTGACATTTTCTTGTTCCGCAGATTGCACAATTTCCACATTGCATATTTCTTTTGTTTTTACTCACAGCATGTTGTAAGTTGAGTGTATCTGTTTTGTTTTTACATTTAACGCAATACATTTTTTATATATGTATTTTAATTTATTTAATTTAAAAAATACTTTTCGTAAATAAAAAATGGAAATTATAGATTTATCATGGAATGTAAATAAAAGTAAACGTCAAAATAATGAGTTATTACCTAAAAGTATAAGAGGGATTATTGTTGGAAAATCAGGTTGTGGAAAAACAACATTATTATTAAACTTGCTATTAAGACCTGGTTGGTTAGACTATAATAATTTACAAGTTTTTGGAAAATCTCTTTTTCAACCTGAATACAAAATATTAAAAAATTCTTTTGAAAATAAATTACCAAAAGAAGTTATTCTTAAACTATTTGAGTTGCAAGATCAAATAAATAAAAACAATGTAAATCCAGAGTTTGTTATTAAAGACATTTCAAGAAATTTAAAAGATAAAACAGATATAGAGTGTAAATTTTTTGAAACAGCAGAGGATGTACCAGAACCTGAAAGTCTCAACTCTATTAAAAATAATTTAATGATATTTGATGATTTACAATTAACAAAACAAAACAAGTGTGAAAAGTACTATATAAGAGGAAGACATAGCAATGTAGATTGTTTCTACTTGGCACAAAATTATTTTGAGTTGCCTAGGAGAACGATAAGAGAAAATGCAAATTTTATATGCTTGTTTAAACAAGATTCTAAAAATGTAAACCATATTTATAATGATCATGTTTCAAATGATATGAAATTAGATGAGTTTAAAAAGTTTTGTAATGAAGCTTGGTCAAAAAAGTATGGATTTGTTGCTATAGATTTGTCTTCTGATTTATTAAATGGAAAGTATAGAAGTGGATTAGATTTATTTTATTATCCAACTTCTTTGTGGAAACAATAAATATATATTTTTTAAAAAATATATATTTTTATGAAGCATTGGTTCTTTCAGAACTTAGTGAAGCCTGGATCACGAAGTGATCTAAAGAAACAAATTTAATAATGGGATATTCTTAAATGGTGAATTTTCTCCTAATAACAAACCTTTACCTACTGTTGAATAATCATTTCCATTTTTAGAATAATATCCGTCTAAATAATTATAACCACTCTTCCATGGGTTTAAAAATACACCTTTTCCTACTTTTCTAATTTTAAAAACATAACCATTCTTTTTTCCATAAATAATACCATTTCCATAAATAATACCATTTCCAGCAATTTTATTAACTATAGCATTTCCAGCAGCTGCAGCTGTTCCAGTCAATAATCCTGTTGCAACAGCTGGAGCTGCTGCTGCAGCAGCTTTTGCAAGAGTTGCTCCAATTAATGCTAGAAAAGGTAAAAATCCACCACTTTTTTTAATATTATGTTTAAGTTGTGCTCTACTCAGTGAAAGTGTTATACCCTTATTTTTTGAATAGGCTGCTCTCATTCTGTTTATTTGTGACTCTGTTAAAGCTAATTTGTGTTCACCACTTAAATCTTCATATGTTAGTTTTATACTAGCATTAGTACCAGATTCAATTGCGTTTTTAATTTTTTCTTTCTGACTATCTGACAGATTGATAAGAGTATCATAGTATTTTGTCATTTTTTATATATAAAATAATTTTTTAAATCACTTTGTGATTATTGCTTTCTGTAATGCTTTATACTCATCATCACCTATTTGCCCCTGTCGTAACAACTCATCACAAATAGCAACAATCTCATTTCTTGTTCCAGTATTTCCTGCTTGTAAACCAGCTAAGCGTAATTTAAGCATATCAAATAGTGCATTTGGATCACTAGGAAGAATAACAACTCCTTTTCCAGACTTTCCAATCATCTCTTCCCAAATAGGTTTTATTACATTAGTGTACTTATAACCTCTAGATGATTTTGGTTTAGCTAAATTTAAATCAGAGCGAATTGCATCTGTTTGATTTAAAATTTCTTTATACTTATTATGGTCATCGTTAGTATATCTAACAGGATGAGATTTTACTATAATCTCCCAAAGGCCTGGTGTACCAATGTATTTTTTACTTTCAATGGTTATATCATCACCTTCAATAGTTATTGGTTTTTTACCAATGTAAAATTTTTTATCACTTTCATTGTAATGTATACCAAATATATCATCTGATACTTTTTTACTATTTTTAGCAGTATATAACTTTAGATATTCTGCTGCGATAGGTCCTAATCTCATGTTATCTACAACTTCAGGTGGCATGATTGCATTAGTTTCAGAATCTAGTAAAGCAGGATAATTTGAAAAAGTATTTGCTATTTGATTAGCTTTATTTTCTAATTTAGATATGCCTTCTTTTATTCCAGATTGACTATCTATTATTGGTTTGTACATTTTTTCCAAGTTAGTCTGTAAAGCATCATAGCCTAACTTTTCATTAATAGAATCTTGATATACACTTTTCTTTAAACCATCAAGTTCTTTTGCTATTTTTAATCTTGCATCAATATCTGTAGCTTTTGCGTACATTTTTATATAAGCAATAATTTTTTTAAATCACAATGTGATCTCTAGATCCCTAAAAGGATTAAAATCAACATATATTATGTTTTTTAATACATAATATATGTTTAAGTAATACAAAATATATGTTTTTTTATTTAATTCTTAAGAGTATTATTCATCACTCCTATATTCTGATTTTTGTTAAATCTCATATTTAGCAATTCCATAGTTTCTTTCATTGCTTTCTCTTTACCTTGATTAATGAGTGACTCTTTAGTCTGTTCATCTATATTATTTTTAGATTTTGTTCTAATTTGTTCAGTCATAGCTTGAAACTTTTCAAGTTCTGAAAGTATCATATTAAATTCTGCATCATCAATATATTGATCTGATGTAGCTTTAGAAATAAGACTACTTATTGTATTTAGTTTTGCATCAGCTAGTACTTTAATCTTTTCATGCTTTTCTGCTTTTATTGTTAATTTTTTAATAGCTTGTGATCCTATTAGTGATAATACACCCATACCTAATGCTGCACCTTCACATGCAATAGCTACTGGTGTACCAACTATTGTTGTTAAAAAACCAATACCAACAGCTCCAAGTGTCATAGTGCTTGCTAGTAATGTATTATCAACTGCTGAAATGATTCTTACAGCTCTATGATATTTTTTACTTAAAATCTCTCTTCTTTTCCTTTCACATTCTATTTTATCTTGAATTTCACTAATCTTTTGTAATCTAAAGTTATGATCTATAGATTGTGGTGGTGCAGATGGATTTTCTGAAAACTGGTTAAGATCTGGATAAAGCTGCTTACATTCATTATTATATCCATTATTACATAGCATTTCTTTTTTCTATAAAGAAAAATTTGTTTTAAATCACTTTTGTGATCAATGCTTCGCTAAATCACTTTTTACCAAAATTAAATATATCTTCATCAGATTTATCTATACTAGGTTTATCTTTAATTACTTCTTCTATACTTGATAATAAAGATTTTACAGATTCTTTATCACTTTTCTGTTTAGTTCCTGAGTCATTTTGTTGTCTAATTTGTTCTTCTTTAACATGTTCTAAAGCATCTCTATGTGATATATAATTTGCATTTAAAACACCATTATAAGTTGATATACAACATAACAAATCTCCTTTTTTAATGTTTATATCTTTTTTATCGTTATTATATACAGTTATTTTAATATCGTCAGTAGACTCTGTTACAATAGAATTTAGTAAATTTAGTTCTGGTTTATAATTTTCTGCAATTGAAATCACTATATGTCCTTTATCTATTTCAACACCACACATTAAAGAAATGTTATTATATGAATTTGATTTTACTGTAAAATCTTCTTGTGCGAATACTTTAATATGTCTATCATTTATTGCTCTATGTTCTAAATCTGAATTAATATTAAAAGTTATTCTATATTGTTCATGCTTTTCATAATATAAAAACATTCTACTATTATACATTTTATAAATGTAAAGATTTTTTTAAATCACTCTGTAATCCTCATATCTATTTTGTTTTTAAAGTTCTAGCAATATAATTTAAAATGCTTTCACCTTGATGTAAAAAATTACACTTTTTATTATCATTAACATTTTTATATATTAATATTTTTTCTCCTTTTTTATTTTTCTTTAATTTACTCTCTACTAATTTACATGGAGTATAATGACAAATTTCTACATTTTCTTCAATTTCTTTTATAGAATGAGCATATTTGCAATTTATATTTTTACATTCTTTTTTATCAAGAATATATTTGCATAATTTAGTTTTAGCTTTTCTTAATTTTAATAATTCTGACTTTTTAGGATGAAACAATCTACACTTTTTATTCTTACATTTAGGGTATTCAGAACATAGAGATAAATGTCTATATTGACATGAAGATTTAGTGCATATTAGTCTTTCCTTTACAGTATTACAATAAGGAATATCATGATTGTATTTACATCTATTTTCAAAATGACAATAATTATCTTTTAAAATATTTTTACAGAAAATAGGTAGTTTTTCTACAAAATGAATTGTTGAAGGTTTTCCATCTTCAGTAAAATTAATATCTACATTAAATGGTTTTTCAAAACTAAATTTTCTGTTTTTGTAATGTTTTTTAAAAGAAGTATTATCTATAGCAGGATAATCATCATTAATAACATTATAAGTTGGAACATAATTAATCCATTTCAGCTTATCTTTATGCAGTTCCATGATTTGAACTGTTTTTAAAGGAATTGGAACTATAGGTTTTTCTTTAACTTCATCTTCTTCATCAGATGTATAATAAGTAGCTTCATCAGATGTATAATAAGTGTCATCTTCAGAATCTGATTCTTCAAATTCAAATTTTCTCATTTCTTCAAAAAGTTTAAATTCTTTTTGAAATTCAGATATTTCATTAATTTCATCATCATTCATTTTTTATTTTTTATTATTTGTAAAAATATTTTAAATCAAAAAAAGAAAATATGTTAAATAATTTTCTTTTATATATAAAAAGAATGGAAAACGAAATGCAAAATTCATTTTTAAAATCAATAGAACAAAGATTAAGATTAATAGAAGAAAAATATTATTAATATTCATGATATTGAAATGACTGAAGATTCTGAAGTTACTACAGTTACTACTACAGTTACTACTGAAGTTACTGAAATTACAGAAACTACTGAATATGATAATGATATTGAAATGACTGAAGAAGATGATGAAGATAATGAAGATGAAGAAGATGATGAAGATGATGAAGATGATGAAGATGAAGAAGAAGTTACTACAGTAACTACAGTAACTACTGAAATTACAGAAACTACTGAATATGATGATGAAGATAGTGAAGATGAAGTTGTTGTATTTGATTATTAGAATACATAGAATTAAATTTTTTTTTTAAAAAAATAAAAAAATTGAAAATGAGTTAAATAATTTTCTTGTGTATATAAAAAAAGAATGGAATTAGAAAATTATTTTGAGAATAATAAATTTTTAATAAAACCTTCAACTCAGGAATATTATATTACAACAATATTAAAAAACTATGGGTATGAACAAGGTAATAAAGTTGATTTTGCTAAAAGTATAGAAAGAATTGATTTATTTATATTATTAATTCAATTAGGTAAAAAAAGTACAGAAGAAGTACTTAAATATTTACATTCGTTAGGTTATAAAGGTATAGAAGATGCAATAGATAATGCTGTAAAAGAAGGCCAACTTGAAATATTAAAATATTTACATGAATTAGGGTATAGAGGACCTGAAGATTTAATTGATTATGCTGCTAAAGAAGGTCAACTTGAAATATTAAAATATTTACATTCGTTAGGTTATGAAGGTATAGAAGATGCAATAGATGATGCTGCTGAAGAAGGTCAACTTGAAATAGTTAAATATTTACATTCGTTAGGTTATAAAGGAGATGATTGGACATTTCATTGTGCTGTAATAAATGGTCATCTTGAAGTACTTAAATATTTACATTCAATAGGATATAAAGGAACAGATTTTGCATTTAATTATGCAGTAAATAATCAGATATGCTCAGAATCAGCATCAGATAGTAACCTTGAAATAATTAAATATTTACATTCTATTGGATATAGAGGAACAGAATTGTTTAATAATTTAGCTGTTCAAAATGGATATATTTAAACTTTTGATACACGTAGTGAATATAAATTCTAGTAGTGATAAAGTTAAGCAATGCTTCTACTATGCTTAAGTAAATCTCAGCGCATGCGCATTAAAAAAAAAATAAAAAAAATTGAAAATGAGTTAAATAATTTTCTTGTGTATATAAAAAAGAATGAATCAAGAAAATAATATTGAGAATTATAAATTTTTAATAAAACCTTCAACTCAGGTATATTATATTACTGCAATATTAAAAAAGTATGGGTATAAGAATGGTGAAAATAAAGTTGACTTTGCTGCAAGTATAGGCAAAAATGATATTATTACTTTATTAATTCAATTAGGCTATAAAGGACATCTTGAAGTAGTGAAATATTTACATTCTATAGGATATAGAGAAGAATGTTCAATCGATTATGCTGCAAGTAATGGTCACCTTGAAGTAGTAAAATATTTACATTCTATTGGATATAAAGGAACAAAATGGACAATTAATTATGCTGCAGAAAATGGTCGCCTTGAAGTATTAAAATATTTACGTTCTATTGGATATAGAGTAGAAGAATGGACAATTACTTGTGCTGCAATGAATGGTCACTTTGAAGTTTTTAAATATTTACATTCATTAGGTTATAAAGGAAGAAAAGATACAGTTTATTGGGCTGCAATGAATGATCACCTTGAAGTAGTAAAATATTTAATTGAATTAGGATATGAATGTGATGAATGGATAATTAATGATGTTGAACGTAAAGGAAAAAATGCTAAACAACTTCTTAAAGTATTAATAGATTTACATTCTATTGGATATAAAGGTACGGAAAAAGCAATTTTTCATGCTAAATTAGCTGGTTACCGTGAAGCACTTGATTATTTACGTTCTATAGGATATAGTTACAGTTGATAACGCTTTTAGAAACAGCAAGAAAAAAAATTGAAAATAAATTTCTTTACATAAATTATAAGAAATGGATTTTACAAGTAAAGATATTAAATTAGGAAGTTATAAAAGAAGATTAAGATTAGGTCGTTATTTGCAAAATAAAATTAAATTACATGCTGAAAAGTTAGAAAAGGAAAGATTAGAAGAAGAAAAGTTAAAAACACCAGATCAAATTTATTATTAGAAAAATCACGTGACCTGTGACGTCATGCAAGAATTTTTCGTAATATTTTGTAACAAGAAATAAAAATTAACACTTATTTTAAAAAATCAATTTTTTAAAATAAAAAATTATTTCTTGTTGAAATAATTTATACACAATATGGTTCAATGTTAACCCAATATTAATATTAATTTATGGTTGAAAATTTGGTTGAAAATGAAAATGTCCCAGAATCGGCAATCTCTTACTACTAATGTAGAACAATTTGCTGTTTGATGTCGAACTTATTAAGTCAGTGTTAAACTTTAAAAAAGTCTTGATGAACTTTATTATGTGAATTAAAATTTCAGATTGTAGTTTTTAAACTTGCTGCTAAAGTGGATTACCACTCTGTGAGCATTTGCTCATCGCAGCAATTAAATAAATAATTAATCAATGATACTGTCATTAGTTCAACGCAACAATTAAATAAATAATCAATGATGCTGTCCGTTAAGAAAACGTTTCTACTACTTAATAACACAATATGCTCTAGATAAAAAATCTTGTGCAACCTTTTGAGTCACTTATGACAAAAAGAACAAGAAGTAAAGTTGCAAGAAGATAACAGCTGCATACCACTCAAAATCCAAATTGTTGGTCACTGTTCTTGTTCAAACTTTTTTTGGTAAAATTCATCAAAGAGAGACAAGAACACATAACGCTAATTGAGGAAAAAGTTTATGGCAAAAAAAATACTTTTTCCACACTGATCAATTCAAAATGTACATGCAAAACTGAAGCAAGTGCTGAAGACGCATGATAAGTGTCAATTTTCAAATCCATCAAATTATGAATCCGAGTCAAAGGCAGAATATTAAGAGTCTTAAGATTTATAAGAACAGTCCACAAATACTTAAACTGCAACAAAATAAGTTACATCTTCAAGCTTATCAACGAGCTAAAATCTTTAAAACTGGTACAAATTCAGACACTTTCATTGTCTGGTATATTCTCATATATTTATTAAACAAAGAAAAGTTATTTTACAAGCACTAGATCTACCAGAAGAAAAAGAAAATTTTGTTGTTAAAGGTATAACAGCTATTCTCGGAGGAATATAATTTATGAGAGTACAAAGATTTAGCTAGTAGAGTACAAAGATTTAGCAGACACTAGGAATGTAAACACTGGAGGAAGGAATGGAATTATATGTCAGTTCAAAAAGGTTTTTACTGAAAAGAAACTAGAAAAACTACATTCATAGGTTTCAACAGCATGTTCTTGATTGAGTCCTTCACGTAGAAAATGCCTAAATTAAATAATATAAAATGAAATTCCCGCGCAATACTAGCTCTTTTGGCATTTATTCATCTACGAAAAAGAAAAAACTCACCATTCAACATTTGTAGATTCATTTCTTACAGATAAGAGAACCATCTGTTAACCCAATTTACTAAGCAGATGATTATTGAAAGCTATGTTGCAGCATGCGTGGTCACAAAAAAACGTTAAAATCAGTCAAAATGTATTAAAATTAGACTAGAAATTCCAAAACAACTCGATGTGCAGCACAAGCAGCCTTATGTCTTCAAAAGCTTTTTAACATCTGTAAATAGAAAATCCAGCTTAGATTTAATAAAAACTTAGCTTATATTTATTTTGTCTAACAAAACATAATAGTTGTATACTACGCTCTAATTAGACTGAATACTACACTAACTTTTTTCGATATAGTGGTATGACAGATCTAGTGCATGTAACTTAACTTGATATTCTTGATGACTAATACGCTTACCACCAAAGTGAATTGACCAACCTTCTAAAGGTAGTGTTTCCTTCATTTCTTCTTTAAGTTTAATAACTTCTATAATAATTAAGCTAAATATACTAGACTGTAAAAGTGTCTGAATGTGATTCATTCTTGAGATAACTGTCAACAAATGATTGCTACTTTATTAGTTGATTACCCTGAAGGTGTAACTAATTTGGTTGCAGTTTTGATTTTGCTATAGTTCTTGGTGGTACTTGTGGATTGTTCTTCTGAATCTTCAGATTCTTGATACTCTGCCTAAAAATCGATTTGGAAGTTGACGTTGTTGTTGTTTCCGTTACTGTTGTTGTTGTTGCTAGTGTTAGCTGTTAATATTGTGGACTTCAAAGATGTTTTTCTTCTTCTGGACGAATTGATAGTTTTCGAACAAGCAGCTTTTTCAGTTGTATACCCGACCTGTCCTTTGCATTAAATCTGAAGATGATACAATCTTTTTTCTTTATGCAGAGCCATTAATCATTATTTTTTTGTTGTCAAAAAAGTTATTCTATGAATTTTTATTTCTTTGTTTTACGAATTTGTTCAATATTTTTCAATTTTTTTAAATCTTATCATTTTGGTTAAAAGGTAAAATTTTCACTGCCTATTCATGTTGATGAATGAAATTATATAAATATTTATATTAGATGATATTTGTAAGTTGTTTGTTGCACATATTTCTTCCATACTTGACTCCGCATCTTGAATCCATTTTTTAGTTTCTATGTTACTAATGAGATCTGTCATTGCTGTTTGCGTATTGCTGGCCTACGACTTTGGAGAACTATTTAAAAAGATTTCTTGTGTCATTTTGGCACGACACAAGAATATATATATATATATATATATATATATATATATATATATATATATATATATATATATATATATATATATATATATATATATATATATATATATATATATATATATATATATATATATATATATATATATATATATATATATATATATATATATATATATATATATATATATGTATATATATATATATATATATGTATATATATATATATATATATATATAAATATATATATATATATATATATATATATATATATATATATATATATATGTATATATATATGTATATATATATATATATATATATATATATATATATATATATATATATATATATATATATATATATATATATATATATATATATATATATATATATATACTTTTGTATATATATATATATATATATATATATATACACTTGTATATATATATAAGTGTATATATATATATATATATATATATATGTATATATATATATATATATATATATATATATATATATATTATATATATATATATATATATATATATATATATATATATATATATATATATATACACTTTTGCTGTTTTTAGAAAATCAATTGTTAAGATTTAAAACACCATCATGTTGTTCAATGAATTAAAATTACCCCAAAAATCATTTTATTTTATAAAACATTTATTTTTCAATATAACAATTCAAAGTTTTATGTGAAAATATCGGTTAATATGTTTGATATTGATACTGTAAGAGGGGAACTGCTGTTTGGACTTTGAAGAACCATCTTCACAATCAGAGGGTCCAACAACTGAAAGATTGTTGTAGAAATCCTGGTTTACAGAATTGCATAGTTTTTTCAGACACTGCAAGTCCTTGAATTTCTCCCAACTGATTGGTATTGGGGCAGTATATAAACACTCAAGTGACTTTGTTTTCAACGGGTTGATTGTTTGTTTACCTTTAGGTCTCAATGTCACAACCGCATGTACTTCCATGTACACTTCTCGTAAAGGTTCTCGTAGGCTTCCATGTACACTTCTCGTAAAGGTCTTTTTATAAAGATGTTTTGTAGCCTGACATTAGGAAATCTTTGAATGCCTTGAACATATTCTGGTCGCAGGCAATCACTGTAAAGGGAGACAGCTTGACACGTGCATTCCTGAACACATGAACCCACTGGCTGGAAAGATCCAGATTTGTTGACTGTTTGATAAGGGCCATATCACGGTCACATTCAAGATACGTGTGACCACGGATCGGAAACCGGATTGAGATGCGGTCAAATCGCTTTTTTGTGTTTACCAACCAATGCATAAATCTAAAGAGAGTATAATTCTTGTTTTGCCTTGCACACCCATCACAAAACAAAAAAAGTCTTGTCACTACTTGCGGGAAATATGTCTTTTTGAAGTGATTAAGCATGGAGCACACATCATCAGCACCCTTTTTGGCAACAGTCTCATCGTAAAGGTACAAGTATACATTATCTGTAGACAGCACGTGAACATTAAACGAGACACAGGTCAGTTGACGCTTGTAATAAATACCGTTGAAAGTTTTGTTGGGAGTGCATAAATTTTTTTGAAAATCGAAAACGACTGCCTATGGAAAACTATCTATCCGGGCAAGCTCTTTCGTAGGAGAAGTCCCTAAATTTGGCATTCCTCTTCATCTTTGATAATTCTTCGCCTCTCTACTGGTTTTACTTTTTAATAAATATCATTTCACTTATTTTCAAGAATCAAGATCAATAAGTGTGCAGTATTTTTTTTACTCGGTGTTGTTATTATTTTGTAGGATGTTTACAAAATTGATGCCAAATAACTAAGATAAGGCATGCCTTTAGCTCTACAGTTATTATTTTTTGTATGATAAAGTATGTTTAACCTGTTATGACCGAATTCTTAATCTTAGTTAGTTTTAAAATGGTTTGTAAACACGGCCACAACATAGATAAAAGTGTTTTAAATTAATGAACAAAGTCGAATACGATAAAAGAAAGTGTACCATTTAACCAAAAAGGATAACATTTATATCAAATTTAATTTACAGTAATGCAGAAAGTTTACAGTACACATAAGCTATAACACGATGTCGCTAATAAAATAAATCTGTCTGAGATGGAGCGTGCCTGTGTTGATTAATAAACCTATATTTATACTATTTTAAAGGATCCTAGAATAGTCATAATCTA